CCTATGCACACACCTGCATGCACACACACCTGCATCCACACATACTGCATCCACACACACTGCATGCACACACACCTGCATGCATACGCACCTGCACACATGCCCACATGTACACACACCTACATGCACACACACCTGTGCACACACCTGCATGTGCACACCCACCTGCACACACGCCTGCATGCACACACACTGCATGCACACCCCTGCATGTGCACACACCTGCATGCAGACACACCTATGCACACACCTGCATTCCACACACACCTGCATCCACACACACCTATGAACACACCTGCATCCACACACACCTGCATCCACACACACCTATGCACATACCTGCATGCACACACACTTGCAGGCACATACACCTGCATGCACACAACCTGTGCAGACACACCTGTATGCATGCCCACACACACACTGCTCCTCTTCCCCCTCTGCTCCCTACCCCCACAGCCAGAACTATCATCCATCCACTCTCCCAAGGCAAAACCTTTGGAATCACCCTTGATTTGTCTCCTTCCCCTTCAATTAATCAACCACTACATTCCAAATTCCTTTCAATTTTACTTGCAAAATAGCCCTTTACTTTTAAACATGATTCCACATCTTTCTACCTTCAGCTGCCACCAGGCCTAGACTATTCACACTGCATCTTGTCTGGGCTCCTGTTCTAACCACATCCAATCTAATTTCCATACCCAGTCAGGGGATCATCCTAAAATGCAAAACTGATTATTGCTCTTCCCTGCTGAAAACAATTTTGACTTCCTCTGGAATCAGCTCTTCCACTCACCACGATAGGATGGGCTTTCCTCCCACAGTATCAGAACCGGCTTTATCACACTCCATTGTAATGAATTAACTGTCTTGTTCTCCCCAAAGAAGCAAAAGCTCCTTCCTTTGTTTAGTAACTACATATTCATTGACACCTTCCTGTGCACAATGCACGGAGCTGTTAATCAAGTGGTAAATAAACACTGTCCTCGTCCCATTAATAGGACTCATACATTTGTCATCCTATTACCCATGCTAGCACAGTTTTAGGCACGTAAGTTGCTTAATAAGCATTTGCTGAATAAATACATAATAAAATGAGTGCTGTTAGCTGGGCACAGTGGCTCATGCCTATAATCCCAGCACTTTGGGAGACCAAGGTGGGCAGATTCACCTGAGATCAGGAATTTGAGACCAGCCTGGCCAACATGGTGAAATTTCGTCTCAACTAAAAATACAAAAATTAGCCAGGTGTGGTGATGTATGCCTGGAATCCCAGCTACCGGGGAGGCTGAGGCAGGAAAATTGCTTGAAGCCAGGAGGCAGAAGTTGCTGTGAGCCGAGATTGCGCCACTGCACTCCAGCCTGGGTGACAGAGCAAGACTTTGTCTCAAAAAAAAAAAAGGAGTACTGTCTTCTAAAGACTAATTATCTCCATTCCTTTCCCTATTTTAGAATTAAATTCATGGGAAATGATTTTATTAAAATGATCTTCATGGTCGATGTTTATAGAAAGTGTCTTTTTATTCCAAAAAGCAGAGATAAATCATATCTAAATATTTCCAGACCCATCAAAAGTCCTTAAGTAACTCACATTCCTCCATGGAGATTATCCTGGTAGTGGAATTAACAGAATCAACCAAGCTCCTAAGAAACTTAGCACATAAATTAAAGATACTCAATACAATCCAATTATAAAGGAGCAAATTTCTATGAACGTGAAACTACCACCCACCCTGCTGCCAGAACATAATGATATGTTCTCTGCATGCCAAACACATCTTCTCCCAAAAGATAACAACTGTTTTGGGTTGAATTGTGTCCTCTAAAAAGAGGTGGAGGTTCTAAGCCCTGGTACCTGTGACTGTAGCCTTATTTGGAAGCAGGGTCTTTGCTGAATAATCAGGTTAACCTGCTGCCGGGACACTGAAAGCAGAAAGAGCTTGAGTCAAACCCCGGCCGCAGAGGCTGCGAACAGCGCAGGCCGCGGAGGCTGCGAACAGCGCAGGCAGGCGAAGGCAGCCCTTGCAGGCTGGGGGCTGAAACTTACAAGTGGGGCAAAGGGCTTGCTTACTGTCAGGTAACCAAAGGGGACATCCTTTTCCACTCCTTGAAACACATCCTTTCAAAATGTAAATGGGGAGCCATGGGCCATCAGCCTGATTCTCAGAAGCTCAAATGACAGAACAATTGGAATCTTGACGAGATCATTCCTCTTTTTCTTTTACTGTGGTAAAATACATATCACATTAAAGTTGTCATTT